CCAAGGCTCATCTAGATTTGGGTTTAAGTAATAATATAAGAGCAGAGATAAGATATTTAATCCATTGGATAGTCCAAAGATCAATTTTAGTAATAATTTGTGGTATTGAAATAGAAGGTGAGGATAGACTAGAAGAATGACTATGAGTTAAATTAGTAGGAAGAATAGTCTGGAACTGTACAGAATATAAAATACAGTATGAAATCCATATTTGTTTATATATTTGTTGGTTTAAATAAAGAAGAAATTTGATAAAAAGAATAGTAGCAGTATGGTAGAAAATAGAAGCATTGTGGATAGTAGAAATAAGATTAATAGAAACTAAACCAGATAGGGTAGAAATAAGAGAAGGCATATGTAAAAAGTTAAGCAGTTTAAAACTGTTAAATGTAAGGATTTTAGTATATAAATCAGAAGCAAGATTGGCAGGCATATCAAGATTAGTTGTATTCAAGATACTATTAAGAGAATTAGAAATTAAGTGGTAAATTGTTTGGGTTAATGGGCAGAAGACCCAATAAAGTAAAGAGCTAGTTTGATTGTATTGATGACAGAAGGAAGAGAATAATGAATTATGTTTATAAAGAGTATAAGAAACAGAAAGTTCGTTTGTAAAGATTTTAAATCAAAAAGTTTTTAGAGTAGATGAATAAAAGCTGTGAACAAAGTTAGATATTTTTTGATTGTTGTTGATATAAAGCCATATAGCTTTCTAGTTAATATCAAATGTAATAGTAGACCATTGTTAAAAATGATGTTGAGATGTCCAAAGTGTTATAATATAGGCTTGGCATATAGTTCAAATAGAGCATTAAATAGAAATTTCAATAGGAAATTTATTAATAAAAGGAGTATAGTTGAGGTTATAAGGATTATTAGTTAAAAATATTAGATAAGATAATATTTAGTAATTACAAGCAAGTTGATCAGCAAGGTTGTTAAATGGATCTTCTTGGTGTGCAATAACTTTATAAAAAGTAAGTTGAATTACATAAGACTTGATAAAACTAATAAGTGTTTGCCAGATAGAGAAATATAAAGTATAAGTATAGAAAAGAGTAGATGCTAATTGGCAGATGTTATGATATTTAGAGATTACTGATTGTGAGTCAGTAAATATGTGATCAGAGCAATGTCTAGGAGCAGTAATAATTACTAAGAGAATAGCAAGAATTTCAGCTTTAAAGAAGCATGACTACAGTTTAACTTGTGTCTGAAATAAATTAATAGTTATAGAGTTATCAACTTGACCCAACCTATATCTATAAAGCATTGTAAGATACCAAGATCAATAACAGGACCATCAGTGTAAAATGAAATAGATGATAGATTGTGATTTGAGTTATAATAATCTGAAGATTATTAACAAGTTGGTGTGTTTCAAAAATAAAAAATAGTTGTTATAGATTAATTGTAAGTAAAGAAGAAGGTGAAATATATAAAGAATATCAAAGAGCAACAGAGTATGCAATATAGAGAAAGTTTGCATAAAGGTTAAGAGTTTTATTAGGATTAATGCGACAAAGTAGTTTAATAACCAAGTTAGTAAAAATGAAAATAGTACATTTTTTAGCAATTGTATTTGAATAAAGATGGCATACAGTACATAATGTAGTAGTAGAGAGAGAAGTAAGATAAAGTTTAGAGAACTGAGACTGAAATGAGCAGTGCCAGTAGTTGATAAGAGTAAGGCTAGTGGGTGTATTATGCCTTCTGGCCTTGTCAATAATTATTTGATTATCAAGAACAGTAAGTAACCAAGGTTTTGTGTTAAAAGTAAAGTGGCCAATGGAGTAGCAGAAGTAGTTTATAGAAGGTAAATTATAATAATTATATAGAGTGCATTAGTAGGAGTAACTTGTAGTAATGTTCTTAAGGGTAGTAATCTATTGTGATATAACACCATTTGGAATTTTGTTAAGTCTAGGTAAAATATGTTGCCAGTGCAAAAGACATAAGTTGTTATGAATAGTGAATTGGTTCAGAAAAAAAAGTTTATAATGTCTAAGTTGTTTTTTGAAAATGGGTTATTTTGGATGAGAAGAAAGAAGAGATTCAAGAGATATAGTTCCATCATTGAGAGTATATGGGATGTTATAGATTGGGCTAGTTAAAAAAGTCTAGCCTATATATTTGATAAGTTGTATTATTTTGAAATTTTTGGTTAATTGATTAGGTCTATCAATAGTTGGCTTTGGATGAAGGAAAATATTAGTAAAAGACCAGAGGTTGTTTTGAAGTTGTTGAATATGTATATGAGTAGATGTACTTAGTAGATCTGAATTATTAAGCCATTTGAGAAGATTGGAAATATAGTGTTATAGTTGAATATCTCAGATATGTTTAATATTGTAGATGTGAGGATGTAATAGGGTACTGGATGGTATTGTATGGCAAAGTTTAGCTTTAAGCTTAACAAGACCAATATGTCGAGAGAAAATTTTGTTGCAAGTAGGTTGGTTAATAACAATATTATATAAGCAGTATTCAATAATAGGAATGATAATTGTATTAATAATATAGTAGCTATGTGAATCAGTTATATATTTTGTTTTTGCAATTTGGATAAGTTGGGAGGATTTAAAGATAATTAATTTTGTTTGTTTAAATTGTCTATTATTTAAAGTAAACCAGCAACTTAAAAATTTAAAGAGATGTTTAAAAGAATAAAATAGAAGTAGATGATTATTGTAAAAGATAGAAGTATAGTAGGATAGATGTTAGTAACCAGAATGAATTTTGAAGAATTAACTTAAATGTTTGCCATAACATAAAATAATTCAGCTATAGATAGTATATAAGATAACTCAGTTTGTGAAAAAGTGACCCAAAGAGTATTATCCATATATGCTAGAACAGAGCATTCTTTTTGTAATGAATGAGTTGTTTGAAGTTTTTGATTAGTGATCTAAGTAGATTGTAAGGTATATTTAGGAACTTTTAAGTATATATATGAAATAAGTAGAGCATAATAAATTTACTATAATAAAATGTAATTGTTTTACCCTGGTCAATCTCATTGTAAACTGGATAAGAGGGAATAAGACCAAGATTGGTGATAACTTGGTTATGATAATTAGTAAGAAGATCAGTAAGAATATTAATAATGAGTGAAGGAAGTAAGAGACAAGAGAGTAAATATTTAAAAAAAGCAAAGTTTATAGAATCATATGCTTTGCTCATATCTTGTAAGAGTAACCAAATGTTTTTGTAATTACAGATAGCATCTTCAATAAGATTATTGAGAATATGAATAGAAATTGAAGTACTATTATTGAAGAGTGCAATATAGTTAAAAGGTGAGAGAATAGGATTTAACAAAAATACAGAACTGAGTTAGTTTGTAAGAATTTTTGTTAAGTTTGCAAAATAAAAGTGTCTTTTTAGTTACTTTATAAGATAAATACTAGTAAAACAGTTATACTAAACTATAAAAGAATGCACTGTTACTATTTTTTGAAATATTTAGATATTTTTAGGTATTGAATAATTAGTTCATCATTAAACAATCAGTTGAATAATGAGTGAAAGTTAATTTAAAAGCAAATTTTCAAGAAAACACCCTTTTTAACTTACTTTTAACCTATATTTTTTTTTAAATATTAAAGTAAGTACTTGCGATCTAGAATTTTATTAATAATATATTTGGCTAATAGTTGCATTACAACTACAGAGAGCAACTATAGAAAGAGTGTACAACTAGTTACTTATACAATTTTAGTTATTGTCTAATTTAAATAGTCTGCTCGAAGGTTCTATACTAGTTGCCATACCTGAAACCTGCTTGTAGATTTTCTATTTAATCATTCTAGTTTTCATATCTACCTACTTACCTTTGCTTATTAATAACCCTAGCCAAAGCTAATGCAAATATGCTATGACTACTAAGTCTTTAAAACAGTTTTTTGGAATCTTTAACTTTGTACTAACCCTTCTAGAATCTTATGTATTTCATTCTTATAGCTAATCTGATATTACTATAGTCAAGACCAGCACTGGTAGTTAGAACATACCATTAAACTACTATGCCCTTGTAGAGTTCATCTCATCCTTAGTACTAACTTTACAACATATCTTTACTACTTTGGTATTCAATTCAAGTTCTACCAAGCTGCCATTTCAGATAGTTCAGAAAGGTAGATTGAAATCATACACTTCTAGTTTACATGTTTGCCAACATGTATTCTTTTTCTCTAAAACTTGGAAATTCTGATAGCCTGATTGGTTTATCTGGTTCCTTCTCAAAGACTAACATATTTGCTCAATTTCACAAGTTCTAGCTCTATTTTATAAGTTTAGTCTTTACAGTAATACTGTCAAAAGTTCAGGTTATCTCTCTATTTGGGTCTTCCAAGTGGGCTTTCATTTTTCTACCTGGTTTTTGTAATTTACATTGCCTAAGGACTTATCTTGTATTCACACCTTCTGGTACCAGTTTGTGTTTTTTTGTACAATGTTGTACAAGTGCCTAGACCTTCCAGTCATGCTAGTATGACACAAGTTATAGGTATTTTATTTAACCAATTACAGAAAACAGTTAACTATAATACAGAAAGAATTGCAAATTTTCATTATCATTGGGATTTGAACTCTAGATTTGCCACTTGGAGGTTGATAACCTATCCACTTTACTAGGTTGTCACATCTTCTACTTTTAATCTATAATTAAATATATTGATATTATATTATTTTATATACTATAATCTGCTATATACAAGACTCAGGTCTGTTTTATTTTACCAATTTTAAAACCTATAATTAGACATGTAGGTCTCTTGTATAGGTATAGATCTGATAATTGGGAAAGGGTTATATATAAAGGAGTTTTTATATAGGTTTTTTATATAGATGGCATTTAGTATTGATATGCATATTACATATCTAACTTTTAATTTCAACCTATCACCTATTTTTTTTTATAGAACAATGTCTTTTTAACCAGCCTGGCTTACTATCATTATTTAGTATTTTTTATTCTCTTGACAGTTGTAAGAACAAAAATGACTAGTTATCATTAATAAAGTAAGTATAGTAATAAAAATTAGGATAGTTATAGAATTATATAGCAAAATATGTGATGTATTGATTAATGATTTACTGACAATATTTAGACTGCCAAAAAAATAGTTGAAAACTTTTATTAGTAAAAATGCTTTGGATACAAGAAATTAAAACTCTATCATGCAATTAAGATAAATATTAAAATAGCATAATTTTTAGAGATTGGGCCTAGGTAGAAATTAATATTATAAGCTATCCAAGATATAATCATTTATCAGATAACTTAGATAAACTAATAATACTTGACTAGAGATTTGTTTGTCAGATCCATTCTCTAATAATCTCTAATTGTTAGTATTAAAGTCTTTTATATTCTTGCATTATTGATAGAATTTTATGATTCAAGACAGTGATTTTACTAAAAACAATTTAAAACTAGTAGAAGTCTATTTATAGAAATTGATTTTTCAATGAAAGCTTCAAGCTTTGCTATATAGTTTCTAATATTGTGGGCATGGCCAATGCTAATAATGACATAAATAACTCTTAAGTATGTAATTTTAAAATTATTCCTAATTCTACTGGGTAAGTAAAATAACTTTAAAATAGACCTTTATATTAATTACTAAATGCTGTGCTTTTGATTATTTTTTGAAAAAATTCATTATAATAGAAGCCCTTAAACCAGTTCTTTTTATTAATATTAAAAATGTAACACATCTAATAATAAAAAATAGTTAACAAAAAGCTCTTGTTTAAGAACTTTTAATCTATCCAGTATGTTAATATATAGTATACTAACTATTTGTTGACCAATTCATTAACTTTCATGTAATATTACTAGTATATTTTTAAATAAATTAGCATTTATGATTGAATTCTATAAAACTTAATATCAACTAAATACATATAAGTATTAGTCAATATAGATGTATTATTTAACTTTATATAAGTTTAAGCTTATCTTTTTAGTTCAAAGATAAATTTTCAAGATTCAGACATTAAAGTGAGAGCTCTTAGTAATGACAAATTACAAAACTATTACAAGTTAAAAAAAAAAAAGAATCATAAATTATTAAATTAAAAAAAAACTTACAGGATATTATGAAAAATCTTTTATGGGCTTGATGAATTATTGGCATTAGAAATTAATTGAATATCAACAAAATCATGCATTTTACATAGAAATTCATATATTTTATTCAAAGCATAATGAGATTAAACATTACAACCTAATTGATTTATTATATAAAAAGCATATGTATAGTTATTTTATAGTTTATTATATATAAAAAAAAATTTTTTTTTATCATGTTTGATATTTTTGTCTTATTCTAAACAAAGCAAATCCTTCAACCAAAACACAAAAAAATATCTTAGATAAAGCAGGTTTTTCAACAAATATACAAAAATAAGAACTAATTTATTTTAAATTAGTAAAAATTAAAATATTATAAATTATTAATATATGCTGTATATTTAAGTAAGATGGGGCATTATAGAAAAAATTTGAAACAAGCAAAGGTTACTAAAAAAAAAAAAAAAGAAGCTAGAACATGCAGGAAAAGTTGGTAGTTATTACATATCTTAAAAAAAATTACACAACTAGCAAGTGAAATACTGCTTAACAATTTAATATAACATCAAAGTAATTGTACAAATAAATCAAAAAAAGAAAAGAATTAAAAAATGTCTCACCTTATACAAGATGGTTAAATATTAGTGCTTGTTCTAAATATCCATTTTTAGAAGTTGATCTTTTAGATTGAATTAAATATTTACACTTAAAGCAAAAGATTGTATTCTGAAATATAGTTAAAACTAAAGCATAACAATTTGCAAAGCTAATTTGATTTACTTTACTTTACCTTATAATTAATGAATACAAATGAAGTGATAGATGAATTAAAGGTTTTATGCATCATAATAATTTAAGTAATAGATTCTGTACTACAGTAGCACAAAGACTACCAGAGAACTTAGAAACTAAAAAAGATGAATTTTTAAGTTATGCATTATATCATAGAATGCATTATAATTATCATTTTTCTCTTTTTAGAAATATGAATAAGATGCCATAAGCATTTGATATGTTTAGTAACTATACAATAGAAGAAGCTGGTGCTTATATAGTTGGAATTCATATAACTGGATATGAGAAATCTAATTTTATAGTTGTATTAAGTTGTTTAGCTAATGGTACTAAATTGCTCTCTATGATAATTTTTAAATTAGTCAAAATACTATAACAAATATTTCTATCAGATATTATTGTACAAGCTAATTCTAAGAAATATATGACTTCTGAGGAAATAATTTTTTTGGATTAAAAAGATCTAAAGACATTAAGCTCCTTTATCTGTTGATCTTCATTCATTACTTGTTTTGGATTCATTTTATAATTACTTTACAGACACAGTTAAAAATAGATTTGAAGAAAAAAATACCAATATTGTAGTAATTCCAGGTGGACTTACCAAAAAATTGCAACCCTTAGATGTATATATTAATAAATCCTTTAAGAATAAGGTAAACTAACATTTTAAAATTATTGGTGTATTTATTTAAGTATATAAATGAAAATAATATTATTTATTAATTATATAATTGTCACAGCTAATATTAAAGTTTAGTTAAAGTTAAAATTAATAAATCTGATTAATTAATAAGCTTGATCAATCAGTAGTTTATTTGTTTTAATTTGAGCTAAATTTTAATATTAACTATAAAATACTTTTTTTTTAAATTTTAAGTATTGTAAGTACTATCTTAGTTGGATGTGTGAAAAAATTAAAAAATTAATACCAACAGGTCATATTCAAAAATCTGCTTATAATTTGGTAGCAAGATGGAATAAAGCAGCATGGGACCTTGTTGACTTTGATCTTATAAAATGGTTATTCAAATGCTGTGATATATCTATGGCTTAGAATAGGTCTAAGAAGAATATAATATTTGATTATAATTGGGTTATTAATCCAGAACATCAAAATGATAATTATATATATGTCAATGTGAATAATACAAATGAAAATGAAGATGTTGTTTATTTGACTCAAGACAATAATAATAATAATAATAGTGATTTGGATAAAAGTGATGAAATAAAAAGTGAATATAATGGTAAAGATAGGAATAATAATAGTAAAAACAAGAATAATAATGAAAATTATAATAGTTTAAAGATGGATAAGGATAATGATAGCTTAAATGACTGTAGAGTATAATTTTTTTTAATGTTAAAAGATATAAATTTTTTTAAACAAATTTCTGTTAATTAAAGAAAGTCACAAGAAAGATTTATATTATAACAATCAAATAACTAAATATGTTTATATATAGAATTGAAAAAACACTATCTTGTTTACCCAAATTATAGAAAGCATAATAAGTATAGTAATTAAAAATAAAATATTGATAAGTAGTACCAATACAGTCAAAAAATAATGACATATTTGATTTATTACATGATGAACAAATTTAAAGAATAATTTGTAGCTTTCATTAGTATTAAATAGTCATAGAACAATTGTAATAAAAAGAAAAACCACAAATAGAAATAGATGATATCCACCATTATAGCTACAAAACAATTTATAAAGTTTGTATTCACAAGCAACTTTGCAAAAAAAATATATATTATAATCTGGCTATATGCAATTCATTTATAGCACCTTACATTTTATCACTAAATTTAATCATGAAATAATCTATCACTTAATATAATTGTACTATATAATTTATTTGTAAATTTAAATAGATTGTTAAAAATTAAACCAGATTATTTAGAGCTATTAGAAAATAATAAAGAAATACATTAATAAACCATAAAGCAACACAATATAACATATATAACAATAAGTTGACATATCAATATCAATATATTAAGAATTATTTAAATGTTGCACAAACAGCATGTAAGACATCATTAAATATTTGTCAGATAGAACTATACTTCAAATACTATATATTATATTGGATCTTTTTAATATTTATTCCTATTTATATACTCAGATCTTTTAATATTTATTCCTATTTATATATCCAGGTCTTTTAATATTTTATTCTAGTTTATATATTTGAGTATTTTACAATTTACTAAAATTTTAATCTATGTTATAGATCCAAGTATAATACATAGTGGGTCTAACATCTGAAGAGATCTTGTATATTGCAGTTTATAGTACTTAATTATAGATTCAAAGTAAGTTTAAAAGATTCTTTTTATAACAACTCACTTCATATATAAAATTTTAAACAATATTATTCTTTATTATAGTATTCTAATTTAACATATTAGCTAATTATTATTGAATATAAAACTTATATTAAAAGACAAGATAATGATTAAAATATTGTGTTATATACTAAATATAAAAGATTATAATACTTTAAATTACTATAATTTTATTAGAACCTTTATTATTTGCAACAATAACAATATTAGCTTTCATAATATATAAATTCTAAAATAAATTTCAAATAAAGCTATTCTTATTTTTACAAAAAATGTTTAAACTATATAGTTATTTGCACATTATATACAATTTTTATTTATCTATAATGCAATTTAAACTGCATATTCTTTATTAATTACTGTTGAAAATAGTTCAGAAAGCTGGTTAGTAAAAATTAACATTAGATTAAGACAAGATAGTAAAATTAATAATAAGGTCCAAAATTTTTTTTAAAATCTAAAATATAAAATATGCTCAAGGTTTATTAAAAACAAAAGTATTATAACTCATTATTAGTTAAATAAATAAAAGACAATATAAATAAAAATTTAATAATTATTAGTTAATAAGTATAAAATTAAGTAATTAAATTAACTTCTATAAAATATTATTATAAAAAAAACATTTATTTATATAAATAATTGCTTACTTTATAACATAAGTTTTGCTTTAGATAACAGTTCTGCAAGTACATTTTCATGAATATTTTTGAATAGTTTCCTTATATTGGTTTTCAGTTAGGCTTTCTTCAAAATTAATTTTTAGTCTTTCTTACTTTTTCATAACAGTTGCAGGTATATTCTCTTTTTCACTTCTGATCTGTCTTTTTTTTGATCACTTAACAGGCTTGCTTTTGACAGTATTATTAATTATAGGATGCTTCATTGATGCTGAGATATGGGCTAAAACAAAAACATTATTGACAATAATGTACAAAGACTTCAGATATTTCTCAAGATATAGCACAAAATCTGCACACTTATCAGGATCTGTTGCAATTTTTTCTGCAATTTCTTCTGATAATCTATGAATTTGCATATATCAGAATTGTAAAATACTTTGACTAGATAATATGTATGATATTTGAGTTCTCAAACCTTGTAATTGTTAAAAGTTGTAAAAATTAATGTTATTTTTTGCAAGTTCCAATTTAGGTAGATCCTTTTGCCAATGTTTTGAGAAGTAAAAAGAAATATGTTTAGTGAGAGAAAGATGAACCACAACTGCAAAAAATAATGACAAATTATACTAGCAAACTCTAGGTTATAGCAGCAACAAGAAAATATATAACTATTATAGCACACCCAGCATATAATGTTGTGTTATTTATAATATAATAATTTAAATTAACAAATTTTATTATTATTTGTAGTTTTCTTAAATGCATATGCATCTTTTGCATTCTATTCAGTTATGAATTTCTTCCAAACATATTGCATCAAATAATTATCAGCATAATTTTCTATAGGATTTTGAGAAGTAGAACAGATAAGGTAAACAAGCTCCTTGTACATAGCAACATACTCAGTCTTTTTACAATGATCAAGTACCTGCTCAAAAGCTCAAGAAAGTCAGTTAGGCTAGTTTTATAGTCTAGAAAGCTCTTTAATAATTTATTTATTGACTTTTCTCTCTGTATTGAAAACATGTCAGTAAATAAATAGTTCTTAAGATAAGCTGGATCCCAACTTTCACACTACTGACTAAGCATGTCAAGATATAATTTTACTTCTGAATAGTCTTCAATTGCAACAATACTATTCTATTGTTATTCAAACTAATTTTGAGTAATACAATAATTAAAACACTTAACGAGATCTTTATAAAACTTATTATATTTAATTTTAAGTTTAGAGGTCATATTGGTTTTGATATTTTTGAGCATGTGCTAAATACAAAAACAAAATATTTAATATTATGCTTTTTAGTTAGAACAGAAAAAATAGCATCACCTAATAGAAAGTCATTATCAATAAGTATAGTTTGTAATATAGTGCCAAAAATACAGAAAAAAGCTTCAAAAAGCTACTCAAAACTTAATTAAGTTTCATTTTGAAATAAGGCACCAGCAGTGCAATAAGAGAGACCATTGTTTGTTACATCTGTAAATATCCCAAAAAGCATTGAAAAATAGTTACATTTGTAAGTATTATCAAATACAAACATATCATGAAAGCATATATATTGCCATTTTTGTAATGCATACATCCAGATAACATGTTTCAAGTGATTTTTCTGATTTAACTCAAATTCATAAGAGACCTTTGAGTCACTATTGCATTTCTGCAATAAGAATTAAGGAAATCATATGCCTGGAATTCTTTATATAATATATGATCAATATTAATTAATTAAAATATCTCTGACCATTCACTTTTTTATGACTAGTCTGTATTTTATTATGAATAATGATTAAATCTGTGAAGTTGAAATTTCTATCTTTTTTATAAGATGAATTTTTTCTTTAATATTCTTTGAAATTTTGTGATTAGAGGATAAGAGGCATATAAATTGAACAGATATAAGAGAATGGTTATGGTGGAGTGTGCTTTGTGAAACATAATATTTTTTATCATCTTTATCATAAATAAGATGAATAGACCATAGACATCTGTACTTTTTTGACTTAACATTTTTGTTCTTTTTATTAGGGTCTTTTGACTTAGGTTTGAATTAAATATAATAATTACAAGTAAAAACTTGTGTGCAATATACATTATCATTGTATTTTAATACCTTTGTAGTAAATTATTTTGAAACTATTGGCTTCAAAATATTGGTCAGTATTGTATTTAAATGCTTCAAAAGTAGAATAAATTTGATCATTTTTAAAAAAATGCTTCTTCAGATTCTAGTGAACTTTTCAGTTCTAGCAGGTTTTGAGTTCAAATAGGCTTTTAAGTTCTGGTGAACTTTTAGATTCTGGTAAGTGTTTAGGTTCTTTATTAATTTCATCATTTTTGAGTTCTTTATTACATTAATAATTTTCAGATTCTTCATTATATCCATTATTTTCAGATTGTTTATTACATTCACAGCTTTCAAGTTCTTTATTATGCTGTTCTTCTTGAATACTTGGTATAATACATGTACAAGTCATTATTTTAATAACAAATCTCAACTCTAACAATTGATAAAATAGATGTGATTTGATTTTTGAATAAATTTTCTTTAAATTTCGAATACAAATGCATCAACTAAGTGTCTCTTCTAGAAAATTGTGAACAAACTTTTTGAAAAACTATTCTTATGCCATTAAACTTTTTTATTGAATCTGTAAATTGCAAAAATTAACTTGTGATCATTATTGTTATGTAATATCGATATGAATATATGTATATTAAAAATTCAACGATAAATCTGTACTAGTAATTTGTACTATGATGCCTGATATAGGTTTGATTAATTAGGATATGCAGAACCCCACGCTCACACTATCTTACACATAATCTATTATGAGTACAGTATGCTAATTTTATACACTCAAATGCAGTATACTCCACCACTATTCGGAATACCGATCACGAAGCCGTGCAATATTTTAAACCGGTTATAAATTGTTTCATATATCCCTTACTTAAATGATCACCTGATGATCCAAAAAAACAAATTTCTATCGTCTTTGACGATCAGCGATTATCATTCCATAAACCCAATAAAACAATCCTACGAAAAAAAAACAAAAAATGCCAAATATTAGGTCAATACGCAAATTAAATTGCGCCTGAAATTCCTTTTTTAATATCGTTAGTTATCGCAATTGCGACATAGTTTGCGTTTGCATTTTTTGTATCCAAGTTATAATTTTAATTATGTATCCGAATGCACATGTATATCCGTTGATCTATACGCGTGATGAATTCATGTGTGAAATAACCAAAATTTGATGAATAAGTCATGCGGACCAATCAAAGTTAAGATTTCAAGTACATGACCACTTATTGTTCCATATAAACCATTTACTTCGTGATTTCATCACTCCGTTCCTGGTATAGCAGTGTTAAAGCACTCAAACAATCCAATTCCTTTGATTTCTTAATAATCAGTAAATACTTTAAGTTTGTGTCCCTTAACATTTATAAAATAAACAAAAAAATTACTGGTCCGATAGCGTGATCCATATTTGCGGATTTCTTCTTTATTACTTCATAAGATCTGGAACTAACCAATTTTATTCGCGTGTTCTGCCGGAAATACATTTCAGAGATACATTTGACTTTATTAACAAACTCTTACTGACGCTTAGACCCAATCTTTAAAATTCAGAATAAAGTATTAAATAGAGTATAGGGGACCGACCCTATTAATTAAATTAATTTATTCGCACAAATAAAGCTTCTATATAAAAAACCAATATCTATATATATTTACAAAAGGGATAACGAGTTGTAAAATACAGAAATATATTATTGTCCATTTATCACACTTGTATATTATAAAAAAGGTTATTTAATTATGATTTGAATAATACCGGTAAGTTAGAAATTTTATTATAAGTGCAATACAGAAATAAGTTTTACGATCCTTACCAATAGGAACTTCAAAAGAAATAGTTTGACTTGGTAAAGCTGTAATATAACATAATTAGCCTTATTCAAATAAGTAAAATAATGCAAACTTTATTAAAATTACCTTTAATCGCCTCTGATATTTGTTGTGTGTTGATAATTTTACTAGTGTACATATAGTCCTGATTTATTGGGACTATAGGTAATTTTGGAATTCTATCTGCATCCAAGAATTGCCTTTTAATATCATCATCGGAATCATTTGCATTATCATCATCATCATCATCTGAATCATTTTCATCAGCAAAAGTTCCCATGATATCGTTCCATTTATCAAGTTCCCAATAAACATCTTCAGCCCTAGGCCGTTTTCGTGGATCAGCATCCATGCACTGTTTAGCAAATTCAATATAGTAATCTGGAGTTCCGGGAGCAAATTCTGGTCGCAATCCTTTACAAATTTTTATTGCAAGGCCAAGATCAAATTTATAACCATCAAAAGGTCTTTGTCCCGTTGACATCTCTGACATGATGACTCCGAAGCCATAAATATCTGCAGATCTTGTCGACTCTTGACCTGATAAAACCTCAGGGGCTACGTAAGGCATAACTCCATAAATACAACCTTTTAAACAGTTGTCTTTATATTTTTTAGACAACCCTAGATCAGATATGTATGATTCCAATTTTTTACAATTGGATTTGTCCTGCAAAATATTTCCACTATGTAAGTCTGCATGGATATATCCGGCATCATGAATATTCCATAAATCAAAAGAAATATCCTTTAATATTTTTAATTTAGTGTTCCAGGTAAGGACACTGAATTTTTTTCTCAAAAATTTGTGAAGACTTCCGTGATCCGCGTATTGGAATACCATCAAATATTCATTTGTTTCATTATTTTGTGTCAATCCATATATTTTAAGCCTGCTACCCATAAGTGCACAATTCATATGATTTTCAAACTATATAAATGTATATAATCAGTTCAAATATGCGTTTAATAAACCCCTCAATAAATGATTAACTTACTTCTTTTAAGAAATCTTGAGGATTACTCTTAGAACCATACAAGGTTTTAAGTGCAACTGGGATAGATGATTCACGAGTTCTCTCATAAATTTCTTCAATTTTTTTGATTTTTCGTATACCATCCAGCCATGTCGCCGAAAATACAGAACTAAATGCACCTCCTCCGATTTTTTTAATATTATTGATTCTATTGAATGGGATCCAGTCGATTATATACTCATAATTATGAGTTCTAAGTTGGAACTCATTTATGCAATTATCAATATCTTTATTTCCACTTGTCCATCCTTGAATGGCTATGTAAGGATCACATGTCAGACACCATGCTTTATTCGTGTTATATTCATTACAATGTGCGCATTTTCCATATTTAGGTTGTCTTTATAAATTGCATAATATTAGTTATCTCGCATTATTTATGTCATTCTTATGTTTAAATGCAAACAGTTCTATGCTCACCGGCTAATTAATGCAAATAAAATAAAATTAAATAATGAACTTGAATAAATACTTAGATTAATAAATGTACTCACAAACTTTAGTGGTTAAATGAAATTAATAGTAAATATTTATGGACTTGAATGATTTATTTTAAATACTTATTAATAAATGCTCTTTATACTCACGAGCTGCAGAATGTTAAATGAAATTAGATAGTGAATATTTGTTAACTTGAATAACTTGTTTTATATACATAGATTAATAAATTTCTTTATACTCACTAACTGCAGTAAGTTAAATGAAATTAAAAGTAAATTTTCATGATATTGAATAGACCAATTAAATAATTAGATTAATAAGTATTCTTTATACTTACCGACTGGAATGAAATTAAAATAGTAAATGTTAAATGAACTTAATAGTTTATTTAAATTCTTAGATTAAAAAACTTTATACTCACTGACTGCAATAACATTAAAAGATAAATATTCATGAACTCGAATGCATATTTTAAATACTTAGATTAATGAATGTTCTTATACTCACCGACTGAAATGAAATCAAAATAATGAATATTATATGAATTTGAATAGCTTTTTCTTAAATACTGTGCTTAGATTAATAAACTTTATACTCACCGACTGAAATGAAATTAGTAAATATTCATGAATTTGAATAGCTTATTTGTACTTAAGATTAATAAACACTCTTTATACTCACCGACTAAATGAAATTAAATACAAATATTTATGAACTTGAATAGTTTATTTTTTAAATACTTAGATAAATAAATGTTCTTATACTCACTAACTGTAGTATGTTAAATAAAATTAAATAATAATATTCATGAACTTGAATAGCTTATTTTAATTACTTAGATTAATAAATGTTCTTTATACTTACTCACTACAATATTTTAAGTAAAATCAAATAGTAAATATTCATAAACTTGAATAAATACTTAGATTGATAAATACTTTTTATACTTACTACCTATAATATATTTAATAAAAATTAAATAGTAAATATTTTTAAACTTAAATAGCTTGTTTTAAATATTTTAATTGATACATGTTCTTTATACTTACTGACTAAAATAAATCAAATAATAAATATTTATAAACTTGAATAGCTTATTTTAAATATTTAGATTAATAAATATTCTTTATACTCACATACTAAAATGCAATTAAATATAAAATATTCATGAGCTTGAATAGCTTATTTTAAATAATTAATAAATATTCTTTATACTTACTAACTGTAGTATATTAAATAAATTTAATAGTAAATACTTATAAATTTGTATAGCCTGCTTTGAATACTTAAACTAATAAATATTCTTTATACTCACGGACTGCAGTATGTTAAATAAATTAAATAGTAAATATTTATAAATTTGAATAGCTTATTTAAATACTTAGATTAATAAATATTCTTTATACTTACTGGCTAAAATCAATCAATAGTAAATATTAATTAACCTGAATAGCTTATTTTGATTTCAGTCCTTAGATTAATATATTTTCTTTATACTCACCGACTAAAATGAATAAATAGCAATTATTCATGAAATTGAATAGCTTATTTTAAATATTCATATTAATAAGCATTCTTTATACTTACCGGCTGAAATGATATCAAAAGTAAATATTCGTGACTTTAATAGCTTTATTTTAAAATACTTTTATGTTTTTTATACTCACCGACTGAAATAAAATTAAAAGTAATATTTATAAACTTAAATAGTTTATTTTAAATATCTAATTACTAAATATTTTTATACTCACTAACTGTAATATGTTAAATAAATTAAATAGTAAATATTCATAACTTGAATAAAATATTTTAAATATTTAGATTAATATACTTACTCACTGCAATATTTTAAAGAAAATTAAATAGTAAATATTTATAAATTTGAATAGTTTATTTAACATATTTAAATTAATTAATATCTTTATACTTACTAACTGCAATATATTAAGCAAAATAAATATTAATAAACTTGAATAATTTGGTTTAAATATTTAGATTAATCAATATTCTTTACACTTACGAACTAAATTAATACAAGTAAAATGAAGACATTTATTAACTTGGATAGCATATTTCAAATACTTAAATAATAATATTTTTTGTACTCACATGCTTAAAAAAATTAAATAATAAATATTTATGAACTTGAATAGTTTATTTTAAATACTTAATTAATATAATGATTTTATACTCACTAACTGTATTATGAAATAAAATTAAGTAGCAAATATTTATGAATTTAAACATCTTATTTTAAAAGTTTTTATAATTTGATGTATGTGTGTTATAACGCACCACCTGATCAACCAATCAGATCACAGGATCAGATACGTATAACGTGAACCAAAGAAAATAACAATGTTTTTAAAAGGTTGATGTAATTCATAATTTTGCCTATTAAACTATTTTTCAAATTCTAATAAAGATTCTTGCGAATTTTTGAAAGAAAATCCTTTACTCTAATCTACTTAAACATTAGATTAATGCGTCGGTGGTTTGATTTGATTTGATTTCACGTTACATCAGATCTTATAGGTTCATTACAACACACTTACGCTAAATGATATAACTCTATTTTAAATACTTGATTAATAAATATTTATAAATTTACTCACGGACTGCAGTATATAAGTAAAATTCAATAATAAGTACCTATAAACACTTATAAAGTTGGATATATTATTTAATACTTAATAAATGTTTTTTAATACTTACTGACTGAAATAAATCAAATAGCAAATCTTTGTAAACTTAAATAGTTCTTTTAAGATTTTTACAAATAACCGGTGGTGATCATCACCGCCTTTATTTTTGAGCCAGGATGCAATTTTAGGGTAAGACAAGGGTCAGATATAAAGGTTCAAATTTTGTTAACCATTTTTACTTAATATATATGGTCCCTATTTATTAGTCCCGTTTTTGAAATATTGCAACCTGGTGATGCTCACTACCGGTTATAATTAGTAAAATTCTTATTTTAAATGTTTAGATTAATAAATATTATACTTACTCACTATGATATATTAATTAAAATAAAATAATTAAATATTATAAATTTGAATAATATCCTAAATACTTTAATTAATATATACTTTTCATACTTACTAACTGTAGTATAGTAAATAGAATAAAAAGTAAATATGATAAATATTTATGAACTGAATAGCTTATTTTAAATATTTAAAGTAATAAATGCTCTTTATACTTACTAACTAAAGTATGTCAAATAAAATTATATTGTAAATATTCATAAACTTGAATAGCTTATTTTAAATACATGGATTATAAATGTTTTTTACTTACTAACTGCAATATATTGAGTAATATTAAATAGTAAATATTTATAAACTTAAAACGTAGCATATTTTAGATACTCATATTAATAAATGTTCTTTATACTCACTGACTAAAATAAATCAGATAGTAAATATTTATAAACTTGAATAGCTTATTTTAAATGCTCAGCTTAATAAATTTTCATTATACACACGAACTATAATATTTAAAATAAAATTAAATAGCTTATTTTACATATTTAGATTAATAAATATTCTTTATACTTACTAACTGCAATATGTATGTATATAAATAAAATTAAATAGTAAATATTCTTATTTTAAATGCTTAGATTAACAAATATTTTTTATACTCACTAACTGCAATATGTTAAATTAATAATAAAAAATCAAGATCGTAAATAGTTATTTTTAAAATACTTATAATAATGTGTTTTTAAACTTACGGACTAGACCAAAATGAACAAAATGATTTGAATTATATTATTTTAAAATAAACCATTTATTTTTGTATTCAATATATTGAATATTTATACTTACTCCCTAACAAATTATAAGTTTTAAAAATTTCTAATCTCATAAAAAAGTCAAATTATTAATGAAATATTATCAAATAACTTACTTTTTAATCCACTTTTCGAATTTGTCATCATTCTGATCGACACAAATTCCATACCTGTAGCAGATGGCGGTTTTGAAAATTCCCATGGAATTACCCGCCTCAGCTGACTTCAGATAATAGGTGAATGCCTTACGTTTGTCAATTTCGACTCCAATTCCTAAATAATAACAGTAACCAACTCGATAGAGCCCATTAGGATTGCCCATTTGGGCCGATTTTTGATAATGGCTAAATGCCATATGATCACATTTTTCCACTCCTCCAATTCCATGCTCGTAGCAATAACCGAGCCAGAACATACTATCTCGATTTTCTTTAGACATAAGCAATTCGTCAAAATGTTAAATGTAATGCTTTTAGCAAATAACTTGCCCTAAACCCATATTAAATGCTATTTTATGTAGTACATTCATACATACAGTATATATTAATACCTTGTGGAGGGTATGTTGTGACACTTCCAGAAGTTTCAGCTTTTGGCACTGAAGTCACGCTTGACCGAAGTTTAGACCTAAAATTAGATCTTGCATTAGGTGCCTAAAATAACAACTCTGTGCACACAAATACATCAAGTTTTCTTAAATCAATAAATTTTTTTAGTTGAGTTTATTTCTATGAGGAAAAACTTTTGAACGTACGTAGGCCATTTGACACCCAAATTCGTACGTATGACATTTAAATTCGCACATAACATTTAAATTCGTTCAATGACATTAAAGTTCGTGTAAAAGAGTACAAAAGGATACTTAATTTCGCAGGTACAAAAGATCGCTTAATTTCGCACGTACAAAAGAACATTCGATACGAGTTTAATCAATATGTAACATAATGTGGTCTTGTGATCAAATTCGGATGAGTTTGGTACCAATCAAATCATCTCAATAAGGTGATACTAATGGCATCAAAAATCATCAAAATAGAATCAAAACAATACGAAAGATTACGGTTTGGTCACAGTTTGATCAAATTCATATTAAACATTATTTGTTTAGGAGGCTTTTATTATTGTTACTCTATTTTTGAAAAAAAAAACAATAAAGAAGACATATTTTACACTATCTGTCCATTTATTGACTATAAATGAATTTTCATTTTGTCCATTCCATGAAAACTCTTTATTGGTCATTTTTAAATCAGATAAAGCCTGATTCAATATTTTTTAACCATTCCTTTAATGCGCATGATCAAGAAATCTTTCATGCAAATTATTTCATAAATATACATGTCAAATAGCTTTTAATTATATGAATTAAAGTACAATTAATAGTCAATATTATATCTCGGTTTCAGATCCTTTAGAATTTGTATCATTCACTTCAATTGTATTTATCAATAATATGTGAATTCATTGTTTATATAATCGATTGGTATTACCCACTTAGACAAAACAACTTCTCTTTAAACATTTTAATAAAAGTGTATAAAGATATAATACAATTTATAAAACACACACTGAAATAATACATTCATTAGAGCTAAGTTATAAATTTGAAATTGTTCGTTTATTATATTATTTATAGAATGCACTAATACCAGATAGACGCTGCCATGTATAAGTTTTTATGTGCAAAGTTTTTTGGTGAATTAAGCAATTATAATGTGAATTCTAAATGCCTATTTTACTAACAGACACTTTACTGAATATATTGTACTGTAAATTGGTAAAAATCTGTCAGTAACGGTCTAGCAAAATCTTAAAGAAATAGTATATTTAAATCGAAATGATATGCTAAATGAATTTACGAAAATAAGAACTGTTAAATGTACGACTGTTTTCATAAATTTTGAGGCAAATGAAAAATTACCGGGGCCGAATCGATAAGTATTTAATTTCAGTTGATTTCAGTACTTGTTACAGCGGTTTTCATAAATTTTGGAAAATCTGGCAAAAATTGACCGACCGAATATTTGCCAATTCGATAAGTTTTGATTAGCAATAATAACTTTTGATTCGGATGTAATCACATCCGAATCAAAAGCTTATAAGAACATATCGAATCGGCAAAATATTTGGTCAGCCAATTTTTGCCAGGTTTTCAAGAATTTATGAAAACAGCCGTAATTCTAACCCATAATTTATCAATTTTGTCATCGGGAAACTTTTCAGTTTTATCCCAGAATTTATGAAAACATTTGCAATAAAATATATCTGAAAATTGTATCAAAATTATGTTATGTCAGACATACAGTATAAACTATTAGTATTACAGCTTCGGCAAAATAGTAATTCGGGAATTTTTTCGGAAGTTAGACCGTGTAACAAACTAGACTGTGTATCGGTATGACAATCTTTATCGCTATTGTTTGTATAAACTAGGTTTCGGAGGTTTCAGAATTTTTTTCCGGTCAAAGTTCCGTAACACTACTTATGACTATAACATGTTAAATTGTCGCATAGTGCGATTTAGCTTTTTACGTAATAAGAAATTACCTTGCCCATCTATACTTTAGGCCGATAATAATAACTGTATAAAGTTAAATGATGTAATTTTGGCCAATCACAGGCATATATATTTGAACACTTAATTGAAAAGCGCGATAATTTTTTATCTGCGCAATATTTTCACCCCATTGAGAAAATTTTTTTTACCTTCCTCCGCTATCCTGAAGGTCCTTAGGCACCTCTCACTCTCTAAGTCCATTCAGCAGAGATCAATGGACGGCCGTTGGCCTCTCCATCATTCAATCCCTGTGAGTTATCACATTTCGTTGTTGCGTACGTCACCTGTAGTGTCCCAAGCACCCTTTGAATGTGTGCTAGGTTTATGTCGCAGTTGGCCTAAGCGCAATTAAATCACATGACTACACAAGTTTGCAAATTATTGAATACTGTACAAATTTAAAAAAGTAGAAATGTGCGCATGTTTTTTTAAGTTTAAATTATAAAATGAATTTTTTTTGTAATTTGATCTAAAAATAATATAAAATAAAATAAAGATTGATAAATTTTTTTTATTTAATATATTGTAAAAAAAATTATAAATGTTTATAATATACAATATATATATAAACCATTCAATCAATAGAAGTTAAAAATGACAAGAAATTTAATAAAATAATTTGAAACTTTACTGTGACTGCATTCTGATACAAAGTGTATCATTTATATTAATTAAATATGTATATGCTTTAATCACAGTGTTTATAATATAGAAAAAACTATTTTGTCTCGTATTTGATACTAAGAATTCATTTTCTACTTCTGTTTTTTAAATTAAGTTAATATTTACAATGTCCTAACTATAACATAAAAGTTTTGTATTTTATAAATAAACAGAATATTTATATGCAATACTAAGTAATCATTATTTATAAATCTTTATATTTTTGAAATTATATAATGAAAATACTTGTACAGAATTATATTCCTATATTCTGACAAAAATTATATCCTTTAAAATTCTAAAACTGTATTTAATATAATTATTAGTACTCATATTTGGTGAGGGTTGTGAAAATCAAATATTTTCACTCTCTGACACTTATGCAAATTTTATTGTATCATGGAAACTATATTAAAAGAATATTTAGTACAAAGACCTGAATATAATTTCAATGAATTTAATATGCTACAGAAAATTAGTAAAGGGGAATTTGGGATAGTATTTAAGTCAGAATGGAATGCAGGAAAGTTAGTAGCTTTAAAATGTTTGAAGCCTGATATCGATTTAAAATATAAGAAGCAATTTATAAAAGAGGTAAATTATGAAATTGAATCCTTAATGAAAATTCATCTAATCCTTATTTTGTACATATAATGTAGATTCAGATATTATATAAAGTTTGCAATCATGACAATATTATTGGTTTGTTTGAAGTCATCTGAGGTAATATGTATTACTTTTAAGTGTAAAATATGAGTATGCTAAATTGCTAATATTTTGCAAATATATAAAATAAAATAGATCTGGATAGTGGACATCTTTATATGATATTAAAACTTGCAAATAATGAAAATTTATGAGATTACCTACTAAAAAATTTTTTAAACCTGGATTGGAAAGATAAATTGCATATTGGAAGAGATATAGCTAGTGGACTTGTTTTTTTACATTATCATGATATTATTCATAGGGATCTTGTAAGATTTTGATAAGCTCATTAATGATTTTATTCAATATTGAAATATATACATGTTTATATTTAATATATTTCTTTATAAGTAGCATTCTAAGAATGTATTGGTTCATGAAAATAATTTTATGATATTGGATTTTGGTTTAGCAAAACATGTAGATGATAGATTAAGAATTTCAACATCATTAATGTATGGGTATGACATGCTTCAATACAAAAATCCTAAATGCAGAAAAAACCGTCATTATAAACATGATAAAAGGTCTGATATTTATAACTTTGGAGTTATTCTCTGAGAAATTTCTAGTGGTGAACCACCAATATTAGATTTACATCATATAGAAGACTCTTCATTACAATATATAGATCTTTACACACAATGCTGTGATGAAAATCCTGATAAAAGACCAAAGGGGCTGGAAGTTCTTAATGGTCTTAAAGCCTTATACAATGTTTCAACATCAACTTTGAGATCAACATCATCATCCTCAATGACTATAACACCAAATTTCAATAATCCAATAGGATCAATTCCTATAAGCATAGATATAAATATGAGTATGTCTATTTATAACAAGGCTATATTGCATGTTATTGCTAAAGAACTTAAAGTGCTATCACTTATCACTGAAGAGCATAAAGTAGAAATCTCTTCATGGATTGATCATCTTGAATTATCTCCTTATACTATAAATAGAAATTTACATAATTATAAATTGATTTTTAAATCTAGTGAACATGGTTGTACTATTGGAGATTTTTATAAAATATGTAATAAAAATCACAATACCATTGTAGTATTAAAGGTTCAACAAACTGGTGAAATTCTTGGGGGATATAATTCTCTTATATGGGAAAAAACAAATAGTAGAAAGTATGTAGCAACAGAAAATAGTTCTATTTTTTCGTTATCTAATACAAAATCTACCTTTAGTAGAGTAAAAATTGCTAGTAAGGCAATTTATTATGATGAGAATTCTGGTCCATCATTTGGTAAAAAAGATCTATGTTTACAATCAAATGTGATTTGGAGAATAAATAGTACTGTAAAGAAAGATATTATGATAAACCAATCCATTCAGCAGGACTTTTTACTGCTAGTGAATATGAGGTATATAAAATAATTAAAACACGATTAATAAATTCAAAAACTGAATTATAAAAACTGAAAACTAGTGTATTCATTATTTAAAAAAAATAAATTTATTTGAAGTCAAGTACACATGGTGCTTCCTATAGTTAAGTAAAGGTTAGAGTTGAATTTACAACAGAGACTGTGAATGTTACACATATATTTAAACTTGTGAGGGATTATATTCATCAAACATAAATAATTTAATTTGTAATTGATCACTGTCTCTACTGAAGGTTGCATTAGGTTAAAAGCTTTACAGTGAATATTTTTATTAGTTACACAAAATGGCTACACTAGTAAAATTTTAAGATATAAATAGGATGTGGTAAGAGCAAGGTGACTAAAAAATAATATCATTTAAAAACATACTTTTTATTCTTTAATCTCAACTTTTATTTAATTCTGATTTTTTTTTAATTTAAACTTTTAATTTAATTCTTATTTTTTTATAAGTTTATTTACAAAAAAAATATTAATAAAACAAAAATGAATGTATAATTAAAAAGACAAGTTATTATTTAAGTTAAATTTTGGATGAATTTAGTGGTTTTATACATAGTAACAAAACTAAGCATTGCCCTCATGCAGTGCACTTTAAAAAACAGATAAGTTGAAAGTAAGGTACAAGTGGCAAACAGTAGTAATCTGTTTTGAATTTATTTGATGTGCTATGCAAATATGAAGGCCTCTTGAATTTATAAAATAAGTAGCATTGTAATCTTATTAATGTAGTAAGGTTTTGATTTTGAAATAGTAAACAAAGAATGATAAAGTAATATAAGAAAGCATATCATGATTTTGAGAGGTTAACTTGTCCAGAATAGCATATTCGAATAGCAAATCCAATATATAAAAAGATGAGTTTTCTATACACTGCATCTACTAATATATTTTTTTATATAAGAACACATTCTTATACTGACAAAGTGTATCTTTATGAAATTTTAGTTTTCAATAATAGATAAGAATATACTTCAGTAATGGAAATCAGTAATTTGACAATATAAAGTAGAAACAGTATTACTATTTTAATGCTTTGAAGCACTTTTTATGAAACATTTGTTTAAAACTGCTTGGAAGCAATTATTGAATATGTGTTTTTAATTTTTTGCTGTTGATTAAGGCTGTTTTTAATATTTTTTCAAATAAACTACTTATTATATAAAGTTAATTTAGAAGAATTACTGATTTAAATATTATTTTGTTTCTATTTTATCCTCAAATTGATTAGCATTTGCTCCAGCAAGATGCCATCCTTTTAATATTTTATATAATTTATTGATATTTAACCTATTTGATAGAATATTCTCCCAAAATTATTCCATTTATTCTTTATAACATTTAGGTATAAATTCATTTTTATTGGCTTGTGTCTTATTTTTTTGCAGATAACTAAAGATAAATTAATATTATCATATATTTCATTAGAAAAAGATAGTTTTTCATATGTAATTATCCATATAATAATTTCAATATATATATATTTGAAGCTAAAGTATAAATATATCATTTTAAAACCTCTGGTATGCTATATAGTAAAACACCAAATATACCAGAGTTTTTAGAATTTGTTGCATCATTATTATTATAAATGAAAATCCAAGGTCTGAATAAAATGTAAATAGAATTGTTATAACTGACTAAAAGATTTTCTTTATAAAAATCTCAATAAATAAGACAAGACCAGCTGAATGTATGTTTTTTAATTTTATTAACTATTTTTATTATAATTCGTAATTGTTCAAACAAATCTATATTTCAAAAGTTTTGCTTCAAATATCTTCAAAAATCATATTTACATAGCTTAGTAATGATCAAATAAGAATTGATATTAGGATCTTTACTCAATCAATAACATTTAAGAACACAAAAATCTGTTAATTCATTTTTACATGAAATTGCAGATACTAAGAATGCATAAAATTATAGTACAGTAAATATTTTATTATGAATTATACATAAAATATTAATAAGTAACCATATATCTTTTAAAAATTTCATAAGCTTAAATTCATCAGATATATTAAGTGAATTTTTAATACTTTTAATGGTTACTTTATACTTTTCTGATTTGCAAAATCTATCAACCAATATATCTAAAATGCCATCTAGTTAAATAATTGAATAAACAGTACTATTATTACCAAAAATTTTAAGCTGTTTATATTGATATATAGTATTTAGTCAATATATATTGATTAAAAATAATTGATAAATATCAATTAGATGCTTTAAATTAATATATATCACTAATAATATATAATAATTTTTGATTATTATCATTATTGATTAGTAACAATTTTTTAAAACTTATTAAATTTTTTCAAAATTCAATTTAATTTCCTCAATAATTACTGATCCAAATCAACTTAAATTTTATTGTAAATATTAACTATTTATACTAAAATGTTAACCAATTTAAATTAATAGTTTATGAGAATTTATTTGTAAATTATAGTTAATTTTTTTACAAAAAGCATCTATTATTTACAAGTAATTTTTTGTAAACTATTAATTTAAATTAGTTGAAATTTTGTATAATATAGTTGAATATATATATTATTTATATTATTTATAATAAAATTTTGAGTTAATTAAATTAGTAGTTATTAAGAAAACTAATATAAAAGATTAAGTAGATTTAACAAAATGTTATTATATATTATTAATAATTACTTATAATAATATTTTACAAAATGTTATATATCAATAATAATATAAATATTATTATAAATATATAGTATTTTTAAAAATTTAGTAATAATAATTATATTCTTTAATATACTCAAAAATTTTCAATTAGTATATTATTTAATATTTAATTAATAATATTTAATTAATCTATTAATTTAATTATCTAATTTTAAAAATTATTTTGATAATGTTTTTTTTATAAATAGATATTATTACTATTTTAAACAAATATCTACAAATTAATGTTATAAAATTGAATATAAGTTTTAATAATAAGCCAAAAAATTATATTATTTTTTAATGCTTGTAATAATATTGTTTTTTCTATAATTAAATAAATATATAACTTATAATAAAAAATAACAAATCAAATATCATAAAAAAATTTCTAGTTAAATTTAGGTTACAGATTATATGTCTGAGTCTTTATTCTTCATATGTAATTTAAAAGCAAGCTTTTCTTTATAAAAACTTCAATTGAATTTTAATAAAGTTAAAGGCATGGCCTTACCACTAATATTTAAAAAAAAAAAAATTCTAATAAAATAAAAATAAAATATAGTAATAAATAACTTTAAATATAATATAAATTTTATAATAATTTTAAACAAAGTTACTAAAAATGTTATAATAATTTTAAACAAAGTTACTAAAAATGTTATAATAATTTTAAACAAAGTTACTAAAAATGTTATAAGTACTAAATAAAATTAATTAAAAGATTTTGAAATTATTATATTAATATTAATATAATAAACTAATAAACTATAAAAAATATTATTACAATAATAATAATAATCTTTATTACAATAATAAAGATATAAAAATTATTTGCAAAATCAAAATTAAAATAGTACTTAAACATAATTGATATAAAATATAACTATAAATATTAGTTTATTTTTTTAAAATAATAAAAAAAAATTTTTTTATTTATTATAATGTTCAAATAAAAACTTATATATAAAATTATAAGTTCTAAAATTAAAGATTTCTAAACTACAAAAAACTCTTTTCATAAATTCTTTTTACACAAAAATAACTAAAAATCCATCAGTACTAAAATCGTTAATACCTGGTTATTTTATTAAGATAACTAACTTTGGTGTCTTAAATAAATTTGCTCAGATCCTAATTTTACATATACTTTGAAAGTTACAAGTCTATAACTTTCGAACTTGCATTTTAACACTGCCAAAATGGCCTTTGGCCTTCACTATTAAACTTTTAATTATTTCTCATAAAGTATTTTATTAATCTATTCTACAGTTATAAGAAA